CCCCCCCCCCCCCCCCCCCTGCCCCACCCCCGCTCATCACGTGGCTCTTCTCCGTGCCGGGAAAAAGTACGCACAGCAGAATTGCATCTCTTGCCCTTTCTATCTGCCTGTTCAACGCCGCACGACTGTGGTGGGAATGGCACAAGTCCAGGCACCTTCCTCTTACCTTCTCAACCATAGCATGGCATCCTGCAATCACCATTACAATCAATCGCTATGCTACCATCAGGAGAACCAAGCCTCCCCGCCGCGTTCAACCAATCAGCGTCAGCCAGCCAATCTAATCAACGCCGCGCGAACGTCGCATCATTAAACCAATTGCCAGCCAGCCTTTTCACGCCCCGTCAACGCCAGCCAGCCAGCCAACCCAGTTAAGGTCCATCAACGTCAGCAAACCAGTGAGAGTCTAGTCAAGGCCGAACGCCGATCGTGTGGCCGGGTCGTCGAGGTCGATGTCCCCGCCAGGCAAGTCGTCGTCCAGAGCCAAGCCTGCCATGCCCATGCCCATGTCCATGTCCATGTACTTGCTCAGCTCCTCCTCGGAGAAATCGCCTTCCTTGAACATGAAGCCCTCCGTTTCGTACGCCCTCGCCATCTGAGAAGAAGCGCATTGGATTAGGTTGGATTGAAGCGGAGTCAGATTTCCCATTACATAGAACTGGCACCTTTAAGTAACCGATCATCAAATCAAACCAACAAGAAGGCCAATCGGCGCTGACGGGTCGAAAGGTTTGAATTCGGTTGCCAAACGCCTGTCTTGTCGGAAAGGCTACTTTGCGCGGTCGATGATGCAAAGTAAAGGAAAATAACGCACCTCTTCCATGTCGGGCATCTTGGCGGGGGTCCCGTCAGGGTTGGTCTCTTGCACCATACCCGTCTTGACCAGTTTCTCGTAGGTCCTTCTCAGACCCGCTGCCACCTCACGTTGCCTCTCCTTGTAGTTTAATACATGGCAATGAAGCAAGCATTGACCGCTGTTCAATTTCATAGGTACGTGTGTGGATCTCTGTGCAGTGTCACCGTCTGCAGAGGGGAGGTGGAAAAAAAACTGTGGCTTCCTCTCCTGTGTAACCCCAGCTGGCGCGCCTATAAGTGATACCGAAGGGTGGAAAAGCCCAGCGTCCAGAACAAACGGGACGATGGCATAAAAAAGTATGCCTTCATGATGCGGACGATATGCTTGGCGCAGAGGCCTGTTTCGATCCCACAGGAGGAAAGTAAAAAAGAATAATCGGTGTGAGTTCGTGGGTTGGTCGGCCTATCGAACCATTGCTTGACGATTAAAACGGATAAGGTTTGAAGTGCTTTGAATTGGGTTTTTTGTTGTTCTGCACACATCAGGTTCATAGATTCACCGAACGTATCAGTTGGTATGTAGCGGTGTTCAACAGTCGACTCCCACGGGACACCGGACCCTGTCAGCAGCACACCCTCGCAGAGGACCCTCACCGTCAAGTCGCCAGTCTCCCCGTCCTTCATCGGGACGTTGAAGTCCGCGTCCGCCCTAAACCCGGCCGGGGAGTACGCGGAATCATCGGACCCACCCCCGGCAGCGGCGCCCCCCAAGTCCGGAGCGAAACCCGCCTCCCAAGACCCTTCCCTCACCACCTCCGCGTCGACGGCGTTGCTGACAGTCTCGTCTCCGCCGTTGCTGACAGCCCCGTCGTCGCCGTTGCTGACAGTCCCGTCGGCGTTCACGTTTACCGTGGCGTCGGGCACTACCTCCGGTTCGCGGGGAGGGGGGGGGGGCAAACCCAGGACTCCGGTGTCGATCACCGGGGAAACCTGTTTTCGTAGATAGCGTAGAACACAAAAATTGTCGGAGATACGGGGGCCCGTGAAATGTCATGACGCCGAGGAATGTGGGGAGGTTGGGGAGAAATCGCACAGTCCACTCGGCACCCGACCCCGCGCTGATCAGTCAGTAATCACGCCCAAACGTCAAAACACCGCGCACACAAGCAGGGATTCCGTTAGCCCCAAACGTGCGGTTTCGTACACATTTTGCCTGCCTACTGCCTACAACACACGCGGGGGGACGAAGCAACTACCTTGGGGTCTGCCATGACCGGGATCATGTCGTCCTTGTCGGTAAACGAAGACTTCGGCAGCGTCGTCTGGAGGTTCTCCTTCATCTCGGCCGTCAGGTCCGAGAACATGGCCTTATCCACCTGCAGAAAAAAAAGATAAAAAAAAAGAAAATAGTGGTGAGTTAGTGAGGATGTCGAGCAGGGACGGGCATCCGCGATGGGGGGGGGGGCGTACTCTTATGTTTTGCATGTCTTAGCGGTTAGACCATTGACCACGCGTCCTCGAGAGGACGGAGAATTGTTCCCACAGGACCGATCACC